TAAGTGATAGTGTAGCTATAGAAGAAGATGATGAACAAAACTCCCTATCATAGCCCCATACATCTATGATGCTAGGTACCACGCCCATCCTATTTACTTAAGTGATAGTGTAGCTATAGAAGAAGATGATGAACAAAACTCCCTATCATAGCCCCATACATCTATGATGCTAGGTACCATGCCCATCCCTATTTACTTAAGTGATAGTGTAGCTATAGAAGAAGATGATGAACAAAACTCCCTATCATAGCCCCATACATCTATGATGCTAGGTACCATGCCCATCCCTATTTACTTAAGTGATAGTGTAGCTATAGAAGAAGATGATGAACAAAACTCCCTATCATAGCCCCATACATCTATGATGCTAGGTACACCATGCCCATCCCTATTTACTTAAGTGATAGTGTAGCTATAGAGAAGATGATGAACAAAACTCCCTATCATAGCCCCATACATCTATGATGCTAGGTACCACGCCTATCCCTATATACTAAGTACTACCGTACTTAGTGATATGCTGTGACTCACAGCTAATGGTTTGGGATAGTCCGGACGCGAGGGTAAGTCCCTCGAATTAGCCTCGTCCTCTTCGCTGTGTTCTTCTCCCGTCACCCACTCCCCTCCTCCCCCCTCACTCTCTCCCCTCTCGTCATCGTCAACGTGGGGGAAAGGGGCAGAGTTCGGGTGGAATGTGGGCGGAGTCGGTCGGTCCGGGTGTGGAGGAGGGTAGAGAGGGTGAGCTGTCAATGGCGGAGGTCTGCAGGAAAAATGTAACATTACATCATCATAAACTAAACGTACTATAGACTATAGATCATTATTATGTCAAAAAAACTGTTGACATAATGAAAGTATAATAATTATACATTATGTACACACACACTGGCATTTGAGCCCTCAGCGAAAGTTGCTCCACAAAAATGTCCTAAGTTGCAAAATTTTCCTCTGTTTTCAATTTCCCTCTCCTCAAGTTCCACCAACAAGTAGCAAAACTATCACAAACTCCATTCAAACTACTTTCATTATTTTTACGACAACTTCCCTCCATGAACCACAACACACAGATAAATAGACTAACTCCGAGGGAGAAGGGTGGGGGAGGGAGGGTGTGTGGCCTCCTCCGCTCAGTTTGCCCTGCTTCTTCAACTTCTTTCTCCGCCTGTGCTCATCCAGTAGCTCGGCGAATGGCCGACTACGACCCTGCACCCTTCCCTTCTGACTCAGCGGGTGAAACTACATACATAGGAACAGCAAAAAACCAAAAAGCGGTAAACGTAAGTGAAAGATTGGCTTTGACTTCTTCCCCAAACAGCAAAGTGGTTCGAGGAGGTTCGGTGTGGTCGAACCACCCCGAACTCACTCTAACCTACGTACCCTGTAGGCCTGCTTCCCCCTGCATCACAGAGGTTTGGTGTTGTCAAACCACCCCGAACTCATTCGAAACTACATACATACTAGACCCTCAGTCACACTATGCCTGATTTTGACTACTGTCATGTGTGTGCAAGTTGATTTTCTTCCTTAAACACGCCATTTCCTTTTTAGTCCAGCTACAAAATTGGTATGGGCATTTCTGGACTCAAGGGCTTGTGTTAAAATTGCAAAACAGCTCACACGGAGTTGTTGTGATTTCAAAGCTCTCTCTCTACACACACACAGCAATGCTATAGTTGATCTGTATCCTTTGTTGATCATGTACGAGTGTGCCAAGCGGTTGCATGGATGGCGGCTAGCTCCCTAAAGGAGGGTTAGACAGACCCACCTTGCAAGTGAGAGATCTGGTACAGTTTCTCTTCTCTTCTTCTACCCACACACCACAGTGACGATTAGGGTCGTACTCTGGTGATTGGAGAGAGGGAGAGAAAGAAAAGGAGGTGGGGTGGAAGGCAGACAAAAACGTCCACAGACACCACAACTAGCTATTTCCCTAGCTACACAGAGCGGTGAATAAAATACAAGAATTGCATGAATCTGAGCACCCAACACAACATAAATCTACTGGTTTTACTGTAGAAAATGCATCGCAACATCACCTACGCACTCACACACACACACACTACGTTTGAAAAAGGAGGGACAGACCCACATACCTTTAGATGATCTTCCAGAGCCACTGTTTCCATCCTCGGCCCCTCTCTCTCCTCCCATCGTCCCCACACCACCACTACCACTGCTGTTCTGTCTCGGTAGCTCCGTCGCCGCAAACCCCATCACCCCTCCCCCTCCGGAGGTGGACCCCCTTCGTTGGGGGGCGACGACGGGGGCCGGAAATTGCCCCCGGGGTTCGTCGGTGAGCCCCCCCACGGAGGTGGACCCCCTTCGTTGGGGGGCGACGACGGGGGCCGGAAATTGCCCCCGGGGTTCGTCGGTGAGCCCCCCCACGGAGGTGGACCCCCTTCGTTGGGGGGCGACGACGGGGGCCGGAAATTGCCCCCGGGGTTCGTCGGTGAGCCCCCCCACGGAGGGCTGGCCCACGGTGTGGATGCGAGAGTGGTGACCGATGTGTTTCGGTGGAGGGATGTGGAACACCTTGGAGTGGTACAGCTCTGGAAAAGAAAACACTACGGTCACATCTCTATCGTCCTCTTTGCTCTCCCTCTCAGTCCTCTTCTTCTTATGCGCCTTTCCCCTCTCTTTCTCCTCCTTCTTCCCTTTCCTTCCTCTCCCCACTTTCCCCTCCTCTTCCCCTCTCATGTTTCACACACACACACACACACACACACACACACACACCAACCTTTGTGTTTTGAGAGAGCTTGAGACTTGACAACTCGACCACACTGCTCACAGACCACAAGAGCTAGCGAATCGCTCGCCGGCTCCTCTCCATAAATTGCCATATCTAACACACACACACACACAGTGATATATATATATACACACACAAACAATGATATATACACACACACAGTGATTATATACACACAAACAGTGATATACGTACACACACACATACAGTGACATGTACATATGGTACACAACCTTCAAATGTACAATTGGCAAATGTTCGAGCAACGTGAGAACATGTAGTTGGGGCAAATTTCGCGCCTGAAAGGACAACTGCAGAAGGTTCTCTACATCATTTCGTGTGCAGGGAGCATTTGTATGTTGCAACAAGCAGTCAGAGACACTTTCTTTCGTTTTTTTGCTGAATCACTGACTCGAACGTTTCCCACTACAACAGGAATGATTATGCAAAGGGTGTGTACGAGATTTCCGTACACCCCCGCCGTGAGCGTCCGTGTCCGCTGCTCCGTTCACTGACCACCGCTACACCCCCGCCGTGAGCGTCCGTGTCCGCTGCTCCGTTCACTGACCACCGCTACACCCCCGCCGTGAGCGTCCGTGTCCGCTGCTCCGTTCACTGACCACCGCTACAGAGGTGTTACTACCAGTGCTACTACCAGTGTTTCCCGCAGGGTAATATTCAAACAGGGTGCTTATGAATTACGTATTAATTACCTCAGCTTTCACATTACTTTCTACTCACGTTTCAAAGCACTTCCTGTTGGGAAATCCCCTACTGGCCTAAAGCCTTTAAAGTGCTACTCTAGCAGCGCATAGTGTAACCGCTCTAGTTGCATTTTACGCATGCGCAATAATTGTACACGCCCATTTTCAGGATTTTTCAATCTGGGCGGACCGGAGTGCCCGGTTGTTATAATGCTGCGGGAAACACTGACTATACGGCCTCAAATTTGTCAACAAGGGCCATACGCCAGAGCCTCTGACAAAGACAGAGTGAATGACGGAGCAGCAAATTTGGAGACGGAATAACTTACAGGATAAGCTAGCCAAGGGGACTGCCCGCCTTGCCAACTCCTTCGCCCACTTGCAAACATATTACCTAACACACACTGTGTACGATTACATACCTTTATATACACACGAATTACAGTTGCTGTGTCAATCAAGCCAGAAAAAGACAGGCTAAGGGTACACACACGTACATGGATATGCTCTAAGACAATACATGTGGCTTGGAACCCATGCAAAAATCAACTAAATGTAGCCACGACGTCGCTTTAACAGGACAAAAGAAGTTTACCTACTGCGTCACTAAAACATCAACATGAATAGAGTGTGTATAAAGCACACACTGTATACAGGCTCTAACAAAGTTGATACTGTATGTGTACATGAACATTAGGGAGCGGTGTATGTACAGATATCATGATGGGGATGGATCTTGGTATAGAAACAGACCTTCTCTGCAGAGTTGTCTTGTGGTAGGTGAGAAGGGGTTGCGACTCGGTCCCAGGAGCCCAGACTTTAGTTCTGTGTTGCAAATTAGACACATTCTTAGTTCACTTCCTTACTCCTCTTCCTCCCCACTTCCACCCTGCAATGCCTCTACTAACTCAACACTGTCATCCTATCCCTTCTATATCCATTTGAACCCACATAACACTTTATATTACACCTTATACATGTACTCTACAATGGGGTTATACAGTTGCCTAAATGGGTCTTACAACCATTTATGTGCTTATCTAAATACACTTTAAACACACAAACAAGGGGGTTCTACCAGTGTTAAGCCCATATTTTCAAGCAGAAAATTGTGTATTTGTCACATTTTCTTACACCTTTCACATTCTTACACGTTCCACAACAAAGGGACATACATACTGTACATACGTAGGCGTCAGTCAAGAACACACAGTTGTTTCAAAACGACCCACATCTCTTTCCCTTTCTCTCTATTTACAAGGCCCCTCTAAGGCTGTTAGTGGACACACACTGTCTTGTAGACTCTACAAGCCACCTACAACTCTAAACAATGCCCACCTTTGGATGTGGTCCCAGTTGAACTACAAGAAAGATCAGTTGGGAGGAGAACAACGATAATCCTTTTAGCCTAACCAACCTCACTGAATTATGTCCCACTACAAGCCCCCTGTGACACACAAACACAACACACACTCTTCAAAACCCCTCCCCCACACACAAGTTTTTCCCGCGGGACGGGACAACTTTCCTCCCTATCTCTCTCTCACAGCTCTTTACCCGCCCGCCGCGTACCGTAGTCCTTGGCTTTCTCCTCGAACGAAGCCCACGAGCAGCCCGTGGAGGAGGAGAGAGTCCCCTGTCTACGGGCGCCCCTGCCCCCCTCCATTGTCCCCTCCTCTGCCCGCCAACGAAAAATGGCTTCGGCCCAGTCGGAGGTGATTTTGAAAATGTGACAAGTTGACTAGTGTATCGCTTGAAAGCGGGTCCTTCTCCCGGCGCCCTTCTCCCGCTACATCGGCGCCTTCTGTGCGGGCCTCGTGGGGAGGGAGAGCAATGGTTCGGGTAGCTGTGACGACCAGAAACTACCAGAATATCAGCTAAGGAAACTACAACTGCGGGTCGCCATTATTCTAAACCCGTTGCGTTTTTCGCGGTCAACCCGGCAAATTTCGACACGGGCGACAGCAGAGCGGAAATTGTAAGCAGTAAGCGTAGGCGTTTAGGAATGTGCCGAATCAGCAATGAACGAGCAGTCGGCGGTACCCAGAAGGGGAGAGGAGGTCGTGCTCAGCTTTGGCGACTCTCTCCTGCGTCAGTCAGACGTGGAACTGCTGCGCTGCTGCGGCTGGCTAAACGACCGACTCATCGGCTTCTACTTCGAGTGAGTCGGCTGCGAAATCTCGCAGCAGAAGGAGTTTTTTCGTGCCGGTTCATAAATCCTCCATCGAGACGGCTGAGTGAGCTAGCTAGCTAGCTATCTGAGAAGTATATAGAGTTGTTAGGTACGTGAGGGTTAGGGGAATTGAGTCCCAAAGTGTTTCGGCAAGATACTGGCTGAAAAAGAGTTTTGGATTTGGCAGTCCCAGCGCTAGCTAGCTGGCTAGCTCGTGGAAGTCGGAATGTAGAGGAGCTATGTTGAGATTGTGGGTTTGTCGACGAGAGAGATTTGTCCATCCTAGTACTACGTGTTGCCGCGTGCCGTATTATGTGGGTCACTCTGTGCGTAACTTTTTGTGCAGGTATCTGGAGAGGATAGGTTTCAAAGACTACGCCGCGAAAGTCTGCTTCGTCACTCCCGACGTGACGCAGTTTGTCAAGCTCCATGAAGGTGAGCGCGGGGGAGAGAGAACCCGCTGAGGGTGCCGAGTGGGCGAGCGCAAGTGCCTAGTCGCCCGCGAACCTTTGTCCGTCCCCCGTGCATGCGCAGCTAGCTATCAGCACCAGCTAGCTAGAGTGAAAGTCGCTGTATCGTCGGCTAACTGTTGCCACGCCGCTCGCAGGTGACGATGCGGAGCTGCGGATTTTTCTGGAGCCGCTGGCGCTACACACCAAGGACCTGGTCCTGCTCGCCGTCAACGACAACCAATCCAACACACACGCCGGCGGAGCGCACTGGTGAGTCCCTAGCAGCAAAAACAAACGTTTATCGCAGTATACGTGCATTATCTGCACCGAGACAGTCTAGTCTTGATAACTACTGCTGTTGAAATGGGCGTGGATCTATGAATTGTCCCAAAGCCATCCCAATCTCGATACATAGTGTGCTGTATGTCACTGATTGGAGTTGCCTGCTAAACACGATGTTTACTAGAGGAAAAGAACTCTCAGTAACTTGAGTCTGAAACACAGTGTTCTATCTCCATGATCCAGGACCCTACTGACCTATTGGAGGCCGGGGAACCTATTTGAATGTTATGACTCTGCTGGCTCAGTCGTCCCCGCACCTGCCAGACTATGCTCAGTGAAGCTGACCCGCTTCCTAGGAGGTGTGCATTTGATAGAAATTACCCTGTAGCCTGTCCTAGGAGGTATGTGAAGTTACCTGTAGCCACATGCAGCTCAGTGGTGGCTTGTTGTGGGTGACTAAAACGCAGAAAATTTTCCACTTTCTGTTTCAGCTGCAACCTCGCCCACCTTTGAAGTGGTCGACTGTCCCAAGCAAGAGAACTGTGAGTGAAGAACTCAGGAAATTTGTTTGATCTTTGCTTGAGCCCGTCCCCTCCTCTTTCTTCCTCCATACTGCAGCATATGATTGTGGCGTGTATGTCCTGATGTTTGCTGAGAGAGTATGTGGAGTGAAGCTTCAGGGAAAGACAGCCTCTCTCCTCTCCTCTATCACTGCCGACTGTGTCACTAGACTCAGAATCGACACTCTAGCCCTCATTCAATCTCTCTGTGTCACTTAGTAGTTGGCCGCGTGCGTGTGCGCGCGCGTTTTGCGCGCATGCGCATTTATATAAGATGTTTGCGCTACTTTTTCATCCGTGAGAGTCCGACGTCCCAAGAGCATTTTGTCGTGATAGCCTTATGCGGCATCGTAGCTGGTCTCTTGCAGAGGATAACCTGGGAAAGATTTTAATCATTCCGAATCGCGTAAGCTAGCTGAAAAGTTCAAGTGTGCCGGCTCCACAATTACTTCCAGCTTCCCGACAGCTTCAGCTAATTATAACTGCTCCTTATTCCACCGGATTATATAGCAATGCTACTGTCTACGGTGCTGCTAAGTTGTTGGTCTATTGTTGTACTTACTCTGGTGAGTGGTTCAGACTACAGTCGGACCATCTACGTGGACCCAAGCAATGGAAATAACACTAAGAACTGTGTGGAGGAGCCCAGCTACGACCAACCCTGCAAGAGCCTCAGTTACGCCTTCCAGCGACAGTACCGCAGTAATTCCACCTGCTACTCCCTCCAACCTGGCACCCACTACCTGGACAGCTCTGTCTCACAGTATCCGTTCTCTGGTCTGACTGACATAGCCATCACCGGCAACGCTAGCAATTCCAGCTCCGTAAAGATCCTCTGTGTCACGGAAAACGCTGGCGTCAGTTTTTTTCGTGTGCTAAACATAGCATTCAGCAGTGTGACATTGACAAACTGTTCCTCCAGGCAGAAAGGAACTAGCAAAAACATTTCAGACTCTCCTGATCTTGAATTGCTGTTTGTCCAAACAGCTCTGTATTTCTCCAACTGCAGTGGCATTAGCATGGAGGGTGTTGTAGTGACAAACAGCCCTAATGCCTTGGGTCTCACCGTGTACAATACAGTAGGCACAAACACTTTCACTCTGTGTGAATTCACCAACAACTGCGGTCCAGTCAACTCGTCATCCTCGGGAGGAGGAGGAGTCTATATAGAGTTCTCCTACTGTATTCCAGGCAACAATAGCTGCCAGAATGGCACAGAACCATCATACGCCAACTCCAACAGTAACTCTGTGTACATTTTCACCGACTGTCATTTCAGTGACAACTCTGCCACCCTTTCTGGGACTAACAATGATTTTTCTTCGTATGCTGCTGAAAGACAGAACCACGTTTCGTTTGGGCTCGGAGGAGGCCTGTCGATATTCTTCTGTGGAAATGCCAATGGAAACAGTTTCCTGATAAAAGGATCCACCTTCTCTCGAAACGAGGCTCTAATGGGGGGAGGACTGTACATTGAGTTTGCCGACACAAGTGCGGGAAACAATGTGTCTGTCGTAGGTTCATCTTTCTCGGAACACATCTGCCCAGAGTCACGCGGTGGTGGGGCAAACATCGCACACTTTGTACCTGCTAGTGGTGACATGGACTCGGCAGTGAACTCTGTTAACATTACCAGTTGTAACTTTACTGAGAACGTGGCACTGAAGGGTGGTGGGTTGAGGATGGTGGCTTCGCAGCAGAGCTTCAATCTCTCTCTGTCGGAGGTACGATTCGACACAAATCAGGGGGTGTTTGGAGGAGCTGTCCTGATACAGATGAAGGATTTAGCACTTGCACCAAAGAGGCCCCATATCCTGATCAAAAACTGCCACTTTTTCAACAACACTGTTTCAAATAGTTACAGGGGCCCGGAGGAGGTAGGCATGGGTATTGTGTATGTCGAGTCGGTTGAAATTAGGTTCGAGGGAACAAACACGTTTGAAAAGAACTTTGGTTCTGGGCTGGCTCTGGTTGAAGCCAGCGCAAACTTGACAAACGCAACAATGAATTTCACCAGTAACTCTGCAGTGAACGGAGGAGCACTGGCGCTGTTGGGCTCAGCTAAACTCCTCGTGAACCAATACACGTACATGTTGTTTGATAGCAACAGAGCCTTTTCAATGGGAGGGGCTATATTCAACAAATACACGGAGAGAAACACATACATTTTTACCACCAATTGTTTCGTTGTTCACCAGGACGAATCGCTCGAACCAGACGAATGGGGGGCACGTTTCATGTTCCGCGATAACCATGATTTGACGGGCAAGAATGCGATCCAGACGACATCTGTCCTCTCGTGCGACGTGACGGGGATGACAGACTTGAGCAGTGTGTTCTGTTGGAAGAACTGGACCTATCAATACAACGGTAGAGAGTCACACGACTGCTCTGAGTATATCCGCACTGCACCTGGTAATATTACCATTAACTCCAAAACCAGAGATGGTGATAAAGTCTTTGTAGTCAATGCCTACCCCGGAGAAATAGCAGATATCCCAATCTCCATCTTTGACGACCTACATCACCCGAGTCCTGCCATCTTTTCCGTCGGAAACAGCACATCGTTCACGGAGGGCGCCTCACTCGATCCTGACTACTCCTTCATTTTCAGTAACAAAATCCGAGTACTGGGAACTCCCAACAGCACTCTGGAAATCAAGCTCGACAGCATTGGAGAAAGAAATTGGCATGTGAAATTTTTGGTCAATCTCACAGATTGCCCCCCTGGGCTGAATCTTGTACTTGCCCCTATGCCAACGAGCGATGCAAGCAACTCCTCGTTACAACGCACTGAAAGTGAAAGAGAGTGTGATTTGGGGGAGGAGTTCATGGTGTGTGGGTGTGTCCAATCAGACGGCAGTTTCCAGAGCATACGTTGCAACAGTCCCACAAATGCCTCCCTCCTGAGTGGGTACTGGATGGGTCTGGAGAGAATCGATGGCGAGGATGTGTACGTCGTGTCGCCGTGTCCGTCTGGCTTCTGTCAAACTTCCAGACACGAGTACATCCTTCTCCCCAGAGATCCAATGAGACTCGACCAGCACATATGCGGAGAGCACCATCGCAAGGGGAGGGTGTGTGGTGAGTGTGTTGAAGACTATGGACCGGCAATCAATTCAGGTAGTTTTGAATGCGTGTTGTGCAACGTCTCCAGTCACCAGCTGGGTCTCCACGCCACCTACTATGTTCTGTCAGTGTACGTTCCTCTATTTCTCCTGTTCCTGGCCATCATAGTCTTCAACATCAAACTCACCACCGGACCTGCCAATGCCTTCATCCTGTTCAGTCAGGTCATCTCCAGCACACTCAATATCAATGCTGATAACAGGATCCCTCTCGACTCAATCTCACCAAACATCGATCGGTACCTTAAAGCCTACAAATTTCCCTACGGAATCTTCAACCTGGAGTTCTTTGAGCTCTTTGTACCCAAAAAGTACCTTTGCTTTGGTACCAACCTGAACGCCTTGGACCTTCATCTCTTGGATTACCTGGTGGCTCTCTCTCCACTACTGATGATAGTAGCCATAGTGGGCGTCTACAGGATCACTGGTAGATGTAACTGGTGCTCTGCCTGTCTCTGCAGCAGACTATGCTGCAAGAAGTGTCCTTCGAGATTTTATGAAGATTCTTCGGAAAGACTGAGAAGGGCAACAGTTCCAGCCTTTGCCTCTTTCATTCTGCTCTCCTACACAAAGTTCTCTCTCACGTCGTCGCTAATCATGACCCCGGCATTTCTCCGCACACCCTCTGGTGACCAAGCACCACAAGCGTACTTTTACTTTGCTGCACAGTACAGACTAAACGGTCTGGAAAACATTCTTCACTACATTATCCCAGCCGCGGTAGTTTTCATGACTTTTGTGGTAATTCCTCCCATCCTCTTACTGGATTATCCTCTGAGAATGTTAGAGAGGCTCCTGAGACAATGTCCTCTGCTTTGGAAGCTTTACCCGAGTGGCAAGATACACATACTGCTTGACGCCTTCCAGGGCTGCTACAAGGACAGGTACCGTTGGTTTGCCGGGCTCTATTTCATCTTCCGTCTCCTGATAAACGTGACAGATGCAGCATTTAATGACTTGCAGCAGTTCTTCCTTCAAGAGTTCTTCTGCACTGTGCTTGCTCTACTGGTGCTGTTTTTTAGACCATATAGGAGGAAGTTTTACCTCCTAAACTACTTTGATAGTCTAATTTTCCTCAACTTGGCCGTCATAAACCTGATAACACTGTATCTTTACGTGGACATTCAACGCGGGGCTAATGTTTCGGTGCTTCTGTTCTCAGTGCAGTACATCCTGGTGTTCCTGCCTCTGGTGTACATGGTGGCCTACGTGATGTGGAGACTCCTGCCCAGTCCCCGGGTGAGGAGGCGAGTCAGAGAGTGGTTGGAGAGCCGCCGACAGGCTCACCAGATGGAGAACCTCATCCAGAACAGGGCGGACGAGACCTCAGAGGCTCCAGACGATGACGACGTGGACTGGGAGAGAGCCAGAGCCCTGAACCGCTACAAACCTCTGAGATCTCCTGAGGGTCCGCTGCACTCCTCAGTCTCCATACCTACCTGCAATGACTCAGCCACTGGCCCCAACTCCTCCTCTTCCCCCTCCTCGTCCTCTGAGAAGGGGAGGGGCTCTGGCAAAGACTATGGAAGCACTGGAAGATCTGATTCTGGGATCGCAGGCACCACAGGCTCAACTGCTCTTGAACATTTGGACCAGGACTGAATGCATCTCTTTACAGAAAGTTGTGTATTACGTACCACTCACACTCCATAGCATAGTGAATACTTCAATGATGTATATAATATGTGCCCACATGTTGACTTAGCTGCACAACAGGAATGCACGAGATAATGTTAGGGGACCCACTGCGATAATAATCTGCCAAAAGAAAGATCTGGCTGACCTCTTGTACATGACTTCACAAAAATAGCTTATTTAGATAATCGAGTGGTTCGAATCGTGTTTGAGCGGAAGCCAGATCAGACAGTGGGGGCGCGTGTCGAGTATATACAGTGCCCTAACGCGTGATTCGTTGTCCGGTGGGGGCGGGGCGCGGAAGTGGAGCTATTCCGCTGTTGCCGACGGCAGTGACAGTTGTTATAAAAGGCTGTTTCCCAGCCTGCAGCTTAGAGTCTGCGTATATACAGTCGCAACAACAAAAATCCAGCAATGGACAACTATCAAGTGCTCAGAAAAATCGGCTCCGGCAACTTCGCCAAGGTCTACCTTGCAGTGCACACCCCGTCCGGCAGACAAGTAAGACCGCGCGCCGTAATCCCGTGCAGGCGCAACTTGCACGGTGTCTCACACAGCGGCTTTTACTGATTCCGAGCGGCGACATTGACGACCCTCTCTCTTTCCTCTTGCCGCAGGTCGCCCTCAAGGTGATAGACAAGCGCGCCGTCTCCAGCAACAAGAAACTCGTCCTGAGAGTCCGCCGAGAGATCAGCAACCTCAAGAAGCTCCGGCACGGCAGTGTGGTGGAGATCTACGAAGGTACGTTTACTGTACATGCAACACTAAGCGTAATCCTCCACAGTGCAACACACAACAGCTATCCAAGTAGCTGTAGCTCCGTACAAGGCGCTAATTGAGTCGTCCACTTTTCCTCCACCTACCTCAGGTTTCGAGACAAAATCTCAGTTCATACTGGCCATGGAGTACCTCCCCAACGGAGAGCTGTTCGATTACGTCTGGAAGAAGCAAGGTCTGGAAGAGCCGAGGCTCGCCGGCTCTTTGCCCAGATTGTCGAAGGTGTCCACTATTGTCACCAGGTGGGTAGTATAGCTATACAATTACAAATTACCAAGAATGGCATTTGAATCTTACAATTACTGCCCTGTAACAATCTGTGCCATGATTGAAACTGCTCCAAATTCTTTCCTCTCCAGAATTCAATTGTCCATCGCGATCTGAAACTGGAAAATATACTACTGGACGAGAACCAACAGCCCAAGGTGAATATTCCCGACAATGTTCTTATGGATAGCCCACTACAAAACACACCATTTAGCCTTTCCGCTCAGTTAATACCAGGTTTCAGAGCGTTATCAGCATTTCTCAGTTTCAGTAGCGATATGATTCATACTCTCAACCAAACTCTAGTAATTTGTGTTTAGATTTCTGAGACAAGATATTTAACAGACTCTCTCTCCTCTCCTCTTAGCAGCTGCAGACTTTGGGTTCTCAAAGAGTAGTCAGGAGGACTTCCATCGAATCACTACGCGGAAGCTCTACGCCTCAGAAATGATATCGCGTCGAAACGTATTTGGGTCAAGTGCGCTGACGTTTAGGAGTCTCGGCGTCATCCTCTACACGATGCTAACGGCAACCATGCCCTTTGACGACAGGGACATCCCCTCGTTTCTCAGCTGCATCGAAAAGGGGATCTATCCGGAGCCTCCAGAAGTTTCAGAAAGTGAGTTTGTCCACCGTCTAGATAACTTGGTGTTTCCTACTTGCCTCAAAGGATCTGCCTGAAAGGCTGTGTTGGCTAGTGCTAATAGCATATGAATGGGCTGTTTTGCATTTGCATTCCCTTCATGGTCCCTTTTCCCTCCAAATAAAATTAATTTTCGCTCCAGTGAACCGTCCCATCATTCCTCACTGTATATACTTGTAGCAGGGGTGTGCCTAGGCGAACATCTTGTGCCTTGATATTGAATTACTGTATGTACGTACGCCCTGTGATGAAACCTAATTAACGTTCTGTTCCCTCTCTCTTTGTTGTGGCTCTACAGGTGCCAAAGACCTACTAGCCAGGATGTTGGACCCACGACCAGTATCAAGGGCATCCGTGGAGGATATTCTATCTCATCCATGGCTACAGCAACAACCGGTACAGAAACACTGCAGCAGCAGACAACGTCGACACGCAGCAGCAAGAACCTACACCAGTGAGCACAACCACCACCAAAACACACTCCGTCTTCTCACAGCACCGCACACCACTCGACTCACCGATCGAAAGTCTCCACCCACAAACCAGTCATCAGGAAAAACTCCAGTGGATACAGCAGCGCCTCATCAGACTTACCCTCACCCGATGCTCCCGCTCATCATACCACCACGAAACACTAATAGTCAATGTCTCGGTTTTAGTTCGTTCAATTTTTTTATCAACACTGTTTTTTTTTTCGTTTTGTATGTCCATCCCGTGTGAAAACCTGCTAGATCACTTACTATCAGACTCACCAACAGAACCAACTTCTGATAAATTTTACAGAAACTCTGACCATTTTCAATGTAAATAGAAGCTGCTTGCTGTCTGCGTTATTTTTTTTCCATGGCTGCATGACTGTGTAGTGGGAAATGCTACAGAACTAACTGTTATTTGAGCTGCATTCCAGACCAGTCAATCCGGCCCTAGAGCCGGTATATACTAGAGAAACAAAATGGAGGATGGGAAACCTAGTCCTGCACTGCATGGAGACTGACCTTCTACGAGTAAGGCCAATATTATTATGACTAGGGGCCTATGGCTGGTATAGCTAAAGCTGCAATTAGTCAGCCTTGGAGTAGTGCATGGGGTTGGCACACTCTCTTACTCAGCAAGACTATAATATGGAGAATGACTCAAAAGTGTGTTTCAGTGGGGATCGTTAACTCGCTGTGCCTTACACTGCAGCCAAAGCATATAGATACTACGTGATGCCCAAGCCTTGGAGTAGTGCTGCCAGGTATATACAACATACGTACAGTGTATATCAAGTTACTCTGCAGCTAGTACAGCAGCTATGGGGCTAGCTAGCTACCAGATGGTGCACCACTCTAGCTGAGGCTCACTTAGGAAGCTATAGTAAACCCGTGTGTTAATTCATGCCAGGCACAAGCCTCTCTAGTAAGGGGCTGGCTACAGTAGAGAAGACCTGCAACTGCACCTAGTAGAGGCTGTGTTGGAGCACATACTCACTGCAGCAAAGACCTACCTTGTGCACCGTGCGGTTAACAAGAAGTGGTCTGGGGTAGGTTTTCACTGGGGCCTCTAGTTACTGAAACTAGTGTGCAAATATGCAGACAGCAGTGTGTTACCACAGACACTGGTGGGCAAGGCAGAGAAATCTCCAGTTATTATCACATTTGCCTCTAGAGCTCAATCTTGATCACATTTGCCCTAGTGAACATGCACTCACTGGTCTCACTGTGGGCCACCTATGTAGGGCAATACATGTGTTTGTAAACACCGGTTTAATAAGTGCCCGATTTATAACTCCTGCCAGTCTGGTACCATGTAGCAGCGCTGTTCTTATAAAGTAGTTAGAACCATGCTGAGACAAAAATAACGCCGTATAATAATTATGCAAGCCACGCGCCTGTATACGTAGTTGGCAGCATAAATTACATACACATTTTTAAAAACAACAAGGCTGCAAGGAAAAGCAAAGCAAGCAATGCACACACAATAACAGCTGCCCTGCTCTACCACACCTGAGCCACAAAAAGAGAACATGTATACTTTGACAGGTGTGTGTATGTACTTGGCAAACTTGATCTTTCAGTACTTGTGTAGCAATGCATAATAATACGTATGGTAATATTATTATTATAATTATAGTGGGTGCAGGAAGCTGGTTGTATGGCGGACAAGGGTGAAGCAATGAGAAAACAGATTGTCTGGCTAGTCACAAGGCCCCAATTAGCTTGTCCAGGAAGGAGTGGGGATACACAGGATGCGGCCTGGCCTATGATCTCTTACAAGGCACTGTCAGAAGTCTAATGCTGTGTCACCACCCACCCCAACATGTGTATCAACTCGGAATACCTGCCTATTGCTGGCCCATGCAGTATTTATGCACTATTGACTGTATTATGTCTCTCTAGCTGCTATTAGGTGTCTTTGCTTTTTTCTTTCTGTGACAGGCCACAATCGTGCACGACAAGCTGCTTTTTCCAATGTAAGCATGTGTGTGTGCATATAATGGCTGCATTTTATTCGTGTGTTGGAATGCTTCAAAAGGACGGGCATATAGTTGTGTGGTAACTTTGCATTGATTTGCGTTGTTAAACCTGGAACCTGGATCAAAGGTACCGCTACTTGACGTGGTGAAAAATGAGACAAAGCGCACAGCATGGATACTTGAGAATATCGAACAGCATTCTCGTAGTGTACGAACTTTGTTATAATGAACTCGCCCATCCGCTTACATTGTCCCCTGACGACCATTACACTGCACTTAAACCGACTTATGTGTAGGCTACATGTACACAGTCACATGTACACATTAGAGCACCTACTGTAGGTATACTACTGTAGCTATACTACTGTAGGTACTGCTGTAGCTGGCTGCACCACGTGGTGATACCGCAAAGCCACCTGCTGTCTTTTAGGTGCCCTTTTGTCATTTCGCCAATTATCAACGCACGCACGCAAACACGCACTCAAAGGCTAAGTCGGTGTGTGTCTCCTTTTCAACGGACGCCACTGGCTCCTCTGCTGATTCATCAGAGGCGATACGGAAGGGAAGCGAGCGGAAGCTTCCGGAAGAATCTTCTCGCTCAAAGGCTAAGTCGGTGTGTGTCTCCTTTTCAACGGACGCCACTGGCTCCTCTGCTGATTCATCAGAGGCGATACGGAAGGGAAGCGAGCGGAAGCTTCCGGAAGAATCTTCTCGCTCAAAGGCTAAGTCGGTGTGTGTCTCCTTTTCAACGGACGCCACTGGCTCTCTGCTGGTTCATCAGAGGCGATACGGAAGGGAAGGGAGCGGAAGCTCCGGACGAATCTTCTCGCTCAAATGCTAAGTCGGTGTGTGTCTCCTTTTCAACGGACGCCACTGGCTCCTCTGCTGGTTCATCAGAGGCGATACGGAAGGGAAGCGAGCGGAAGCTTCCGGAAGAATCTTCAAGAGTTCAAGAGAGAGTGGGTTAGGAGACTGGAAGAACAGGACATTCCTGAACCGAACCTGTCAGTCCGGTTTATACTGGAACACGTGGTGAAATCACACAGACACTTTGCAACTGTAAGTCCACGTCACGGTACATATATATACGTGATGAGTATATTGGTAGCTGTTATTTTTAGCTTCAGACCAAACGTAACTTAGTGATATTCAAGACGGAAAGGTCGGAATGCATGTACATGTACATGTGGTGTATGTATGTAGCTATAACATGTGTTGTTATATCCATCGCCATGGCGTGTGTCCCTCCTCTAGCTCACTGGCTTCGCTTCATTTTGCACCCGTCAAACTGAATGACGCAGTCCTTCCGCTCGTGTTTTCTATCTCTTTATTGGCCACCTACGCGTGATTCCGTTATTATTTTGCTCTTTTCACTGTTACCACTGAACGCGACACTGACTGCTGTGTGCTGAGAACTTGGGTATATACAGCGCAGTTCAGAACGTCTAAAGTCCACTTTACTTTTGGTCGCTGCGACTCTGTTGCTGGCAGCATGTGCCACTGTTTTATTGTACACGCAAACGCTTTTTAGACGTGATGACCGTTCGAGCTATCTAAATACACAACTCAGACCGAGTCACGCGTTCATAAACCATGACTATAGTACGTACATCCACGTCTAGCTTCAAGGTAGCCCTAGATATTAACATACTCACTCTTTTTCTCCCTACGTTCTCCTCCCAAACCTTACACTCTCCCTCTCTCTGTTAAATCCCTCACCCCTCTATCCAGTACTCGCTCTAATAAATCGTCTCTCGCCCCTCTCATGCTACACCTCCACCTAGGGACAGCCCCAAGAACTGAGGCCAGAGCGCACAAGTCAGCCACGCTGACGCGACCGAGCTCCTCAACCTCGACTCAGAGGTGTGTGCTCCGATTCCCGGCATTTCTAGGTTCATCATCCTCAGTAGCTACTCTGTCATCCATTACGTCGGTCCCTGCCATTGTAAGAGGGAGCGACTTCATACAAGCTCAGGTCATATGCCTCAGCGATTCAAATCGATGTGGAAATGGACCACTATTCACAAAGCAGACACATCATGTACCGGAATCACTTTATGTAGAAAGACGGGGAACAAATGTATTGTGGGTGTTTGTTGTAAAGTTCGATTGTGGTTGTGTAAAAGCGTAGATTAATTCGTCAATCGTTTCTGTATAGTTGTGGCTATTCTTATATAGACTTGCCATAACACTAGTTGAGCGATGGACGTCGTCCAGACTCCTAGCTTTTTTCGCTTCTAGTTTTCAGTCTGTTCACAGTTTACCAAGAACCTCTATGGCCCTGCCCGCCCTATTGCTGGTTCACTAGATCTAGCTACTCCCTACTCCTGTTTACGTCTCTATTTCACCCGTTTATTCCTTTACATTACGAACCGTCCGGTTAGTCGGTTATGCGGGCAATTAAGATCAAGTTAGTATGGGACATATGATATAGACCTTAGGCATCATAGTTCGTACGGGGCATCCTTATGACATAGGGCGCGACGTCTCGCGTCTTCTGAGTCGGAGTACTTAGGGGGCAGGCCAAACATGTGAGAATAATCCAAAACTACATAGGATCGACAAAAAACAGGACATGTGCTGGTCCCCTACGAGAGTTTTGTAACTACATGTAACACCTGCCAAGGGCGATTTCCCACCCAAGTCCACACGTGTGAGGGAATAAGGAAATTGGATTGTTACAGCAGACGGAGGCCCCCCCCCCGCGCACGCTTGAGACAAGAATTTTCTCTGAGGGAAATTTCGTATTATTCGCAGTAGCCCCGCCACGGGGCCAGGCACACCTTGCCTCGTAAACTGGATGGGGGTGAAGAGAGCATGTCGAGACAGACGAAAAGCAGTGCCGTGGCGCTTAACATGAACGACAGCCCATTCACACACAAGAACAAGTTCGAGCCGCACCCTGGTACCACGCTAGCGCCTGATCATGTCGTCTACGCAGGCGGCAGCAGCCCACGAGCAACCAGACCAGCAACAGTTTACCTCCGCTCTTCGGCACCTGGCGCTTAGTTCAGATTCTACCTTCCTTATCTTACTCTCAGGTATTCAACCCGTGTTCCTCTCTTTCCGGTGAGGATCTTAATTCATGTCAGCATCTTGTTTTTTTGATCGGTACCCGCCCTC